CTCACTCGTCGCCGGTCTTCACAGCCCCTCCCCCACCCTCACTCGTCGCCGGTCTTCACAACCCCACCCCACCCTACAGATTGAAGCCATCGATGAGGGCAAAGAGGGCATCGGTGAAGGTTAAAATGGAATAATGGGTTTTTTTTAGATGAGGGTTAAAATGGTAATTTATTGTCATTCAGAAAACAGTTACCAAACAATATTATTTCATTCAGCACTTAACTATTCTGACCCTCTTAACTATTCTGACCTCTTAACTATTCTGCACTAAATCATTCAGCAACTGTCAAACAGCCCCTAAGTGAACAAAGATGAGCAAGAGTGTCAGAGTCCTAGGCAAATATTTTCTTAAATAGTAAATATTTATTTTGATATCATATGAAAATATATAGAATGTTTATATTACTCTTCAAAATAACTCTTTGGGTGTGTTTAATGCCTACGGCAGTACGAGACTGAACAAGACAATAGTGGGCAGGATGAGACATGATTGGATGGGAGAAAGTAACATACATGCATGAAATAGTTGTGACAGGTTTTAGGATTTTAATTTGATATTAGTTTGATATTGTATTAAAATTGTAAAAGAAATACTATTTTTGTTCCACTTATTTTGGTAAAACGAAAAAAAAATACATTTTTATATTAGGGGCCGTTTACCCAAATACTTACCCGGTAAGTGTTTATCGGTAGGAGTCAAGACTATAATATATTTTACTAGATAAGATTGTAGTATATTAAAACGGTATCGTATGCAACAATTTTACCCGGTAAACGCTTACCAGGGTAAGAGTCCTCACCATCACTTACCGGGTAAGACTCTCTATCTCTATCATCACTTTTACCGGGTAAGATTTTCAGCCCTTGTCATGTGCATCAGGTGAGGAAAGTTACCCGATCCATACTTACCGGGTAAGTATTTAGTAATCGGCCCCTTACTCAGTTACATCTTGTCTCAATTTAATTCTGTCATGTTCTTTTCAATTTCATATACCAAATGTTCTTTTATAGATGTTACAAAGCATTTGATATGAAGTCTTAAAACCGACTTTTTTATGCAATAAATATCGTTAACCAATACATATTACTCAGTATCAAATGTTAATAATACATGTCTATAACTTTTTAAAACTTCATATCTTAACTCATATAAATAATTGATAAACATAATCATATAAAGAATAAAAAACATTATTTTAAAATTTAAATATAATTAATATTTTAGCTTAACAAATTATACAAAAATAAATATTTTATTTTTTTAATTTGATATCCGGTTATATTATCATATATTACATTTATTCTAAGGGAGTGTTTGGTAGAGGTATTAAACAACAATCAATGAGATTGAAAATATTTTTTTTTTTGGTTTTTTATAATATAATAGGCTCATTCCTCTATAAGCCCAAATTTTATTTCTGGTTAAATTGGGGGAAATGAAAATTTATTCTCATTTTCATTCTTTAGCATTAGCCAAACAGTTCTAAATCTTAAATATGATTTTGGAAATTATAAGTATTTGATAACGAAATAAAAACTCTCTCACTCCTTTAATACCACAAAAACAAAAAAAAAACAAAAATCATAAAAATAATAACGAACATGATTTAGGGTTCGAGTTATCAACTTCATAATTAAAATGTATACTTTGCATTGGACAAGTACAATTCTAGTTACAAAGACGACCTATGAAGGTACCGGCAGGGTCCCGTGCGCTCACTCAACTGACTTTCGAAGGTAATTTTTTTTAAAAGATATACACGCTAAGCTTTAAAGGGTGCTACGAAACATTAGATTATACGAATGGAATTGAACTCCACATATTCCACCATTCATAGATTTGGTCATTCCATCACAATTGAGAAGAAATTCAATTCCATTCCATTCCATTTTTTCAAAAATACAAAATTATCCTCATCTTCCCTACTTGATCTGAACCACCATTGACCATCATCGACGACCACCGCTAACCACCACGATCTGAACCACCGTCGACCACCACCACTTTGAACCACCACCAACCTGAACCACCGTCAACCATCGCTAATCACCATCGTGGACCACCACCGATTTGAACCATCGCCGACCATCATCGATCTGAACCACAGTAGTTGTATTTTGGTTTCAAAATTTTCAAAAAAAAGGTATTTTGGTCATTTACCATTATTTCATTCTATATCCAAAGCTACTTTATGTAAACAAAACAGACAGATTCCATTGCAATCTAAATAAATAATTAAAACTGATAACGTTCCATTTCAATTCCTTGAACATCAAATTATTTTAACAATTTCCAGTTAGGGGTGCTCAAAAACCCGACCAATCCGATCAACCAAACCCAACGCGAAATAACTCAACCCGAAGCAACCCGATGTCTAATCGAGTTGTAAAATTGTCAAACCGTAGGCATCGGGTTGATAGTTGGTTACTATTATTTGAACCCAACCCAACCCGATGAACCCGGTATTCTTTTATTTCTTGGATTTAATATGATTGTTGAATTTATATTAATATATACATTAGACAATAATACTATCATGTATACTCTTCATATACACATATTTTCAATTTATTCACATCTCTATATAACTCATTCGTATATATGTTTAGTAACTGTGAACATATATATGTAAATTGAGAAAATTAACTGAATGTGTGATATATGTAAGAAGTATGGATAAATTGTATCAAATGGTTGATGATGAAAAAGAAATTATGAGTAGAGAAATAACATATTTAAGGTTAGAAGAATATTTTGATGTACCAAAGTATCAACCCGACCAACCCGTACGGGTTGGGTTGGGTTGAGTTGCACTTTGGTTTGGGTTGGGTTACACTTTAGTATGGGTTGGGTTGAGTTAAGATTTTTCAAACCGCAAACATTGAGTTGAGTTGCTCAAATGTCTTTAACCCGATCAACCCAACATCTGAGCACCCCTATTTCCAATCCATAAAGAAAACATTCTGCCGTCTCTAAAATTACACAGAATGGGCAACAAATATGAGTGACCCGCTGTCTAGATAAAAAAAAAGGCCAAAACCTCAGCAACTATAAAACAAAAAACCCAACATTTAGGGAATATCTGGGCGTCCATTTAGGGAATATCTCTTGATCTCTACGTTGACATTAAAACATAGTAGATAAACCATTTTTATAGAGTATATTCAGAGAGTAATAATGGTGGTACGTACTTATATTAGTATGGTGTTTTCTCTATACTCTCTCCTCATTGGTTTTTAATTAATGCTTCTCTACTGCATCGGATTAGTAAAGAACGAAAGACGGACGAAGATATGAACCCTACAAGTACCACCTTCGATTCTACCAGTGACCAGAATCCAATCATTGGTCATCATCGGATTAGCATTCCTTCTGCTCAACATAATCAACCACAACGACCGTTAAATCTACCTCGTCCAGATCTACTTGTTGGTAAGTTTTTGATCGTACAAGCCTATTTGTTACCGGATCTGTTTCTGTTTATATACCTTTTTGTGATTCGACTGCAATCTTAATTCAGTTTGTTGATTAATAGTTGCTACTGTCTTCATCGTTATGAAGGTGTTCTTTTGCATATTCCATCTTCTTGAACTTGGAATTCGGGATTGCTAGCTCAATATATCCTAGGACAGCGTAACTAATAACTTGTTTTTCGCAATTACTTTGAAGGAGGAAGAGAAGACTACAATGAAATTTGTGTTCCTTCGTATAAAGCAATAATTACTGGGAATTGGAAAGCTACGAAAATCATCCTTGACAAGCGCCCAGAGCTGGTAGGGTTTAGCATCACCGAAAGTTACGAAACAGTACTTCACATTGCAGTATTGGGAAAATCAATCTGGTTTGTGGAATATCTGGTCAGTTTGATGGCAAAGGAGGACTTGGAACTTCAAAACGGGAATGGTCAAACTGCCCTTTGTTTAGCGGCTATAGCCGGACATATCAAAATAGCCAAGATTTTAGTGAAAAAGAACAGGGCCCTGCTGGATATTCCTGATAGTCAAGGAATGATGCCACTCTACATGGCTGCATTATTTGGAAATCATGAAATGGTAAAGTATCTGTATCATAATTCTCAGAAAATGACTGGTCAGTTCTGGACACATCAAAATCGAGAGTGTGTTCTTGTGAAATGTGTCGAGGCTAATCTATTTGGTAAGTATTGGGTGCATAATTGTCACATTTTTAGCTTGATGTTCCTACCATAATTTGTAAATAGACCCTTGTGCATCTCCTTCTTGTTTTATACTTCCAGTAAGAGTTACTCATCGTTGGTTACTTTGGTAGTGATTCACTTCGGTGTTGGGAGCACACCATACCTTGGACAGTTATGTATTGAATTTGAGTTAATTTGAGATCAAGGGTTATTGAAACTGCATAGATCAACTATCTTTTTAGATTCAGTGACTGATTCTCCTTGCAGTAGATGAAATTATCAAGTGAAAGCATATAAATTTTGACATGTGATTCTTATAAATATAATATCTAGGCAATATGAAATCTGTCTTAATTTGTATAAAAAGGGCTTTTAAGTTAAATAAAATGGTTGACATCCAATATGTGCAAAATGTCTGGTACTTATCAAAAGTGGTTTGTTTATGCTTAGATCAAGCATGATGCCATATGAAACTAGATAGTGTCCCCGCTTACTTGTGGAAGCATCATTACTAAGATGCTCATGTTTATCCTAGAGATTGTATTTCTCTACACTGGTTCAATCTCAAGAATGAGACATTTCATACAAATGTATGAGCATATTATAAAGCTAGAAGGTAAATTCTGGGATAATTTGAGACTGAATCTTAAGCTATTTTCATGGTTCTAACTTCTAACAATGTGACAAAAAACACAATTTAACATTTTAATGAAGTTTGGCAGTTTGATTTGACCTACCAATTCATTTATTGTAGTAGAAGTTTGTATGCTCCTGTTTTTATCCCCATTCACGTTTTCTATTTCTTCCCCGGTTGGCTGTGTAAGAATTTTAGGTAGCTATCACAAAACTCTGGAATCTTGGAGAGGTCTCTTCCTAAATTGTTGTAGCCCATGCCTTAGCCAGCCCTTGGAATCTCAACTAGTCCGTAACTCTTAACTTTCTGAATATATACTAGTTTATGCTGGGCTGGCATGTTTTGTGGTCAATGATGCTATTTATTAACACCAAAGACAATACAACTGCTATCATTATTAAGTCTCTATTTGTTTTCCATGAAATCTTGGTATTGCTTGGGCTTTGTTGTTGCTTCAAGAATTTCCTTTAGTTTCTTCTTGTGAAGACTTAAATCCAAGGTGGGCATTTGTTAAAGTATGTTTCATTTGAAGTCAACAGAAAAGAGGAATCTTAAACCATGACGTCCCAAGGTGGACATTTATTATATATGAGTGTACAATTGTTTGCGCCTCATTCTATATCTATATGCTAATGAGATCATGAGCTTATTAGATGACCTCATTACCAAGATCATGGCCTTTCCATCTCAATGTCTCTTGTTGTTGGGTCTATATTGTATGAACAGATCTGCAGTTTTTCCTTCTAGCCTTGAAATCTTAAGATCCCATTTGTGTTTTTTAATAAGGTTTTTTAAGAATTTGGAAGAACAACCAAAAATGAGTACACCAATAGGGTGAAAAAGATTTCTCCACCCATTCATTGAGCAATGGTAAGCATGTATTTGAACTCAAGACCTTCAAAATATTTCAAGTAATCTCCATCCAATTAAGCATTGGGCGTCTTCAGAAAAGTTGATTGTGTACTTATTTAGGGCTTTTGGGTTTCTATGGTTTCATAGTGATGTCCTTGTGATTTGTACTTCATATTTTGTTATGGTCAAACTTCATGGTTTCCACATAAGACCATACTGCTATGTTGCCTACATTTTGGTTGCTTAGTGTTCTTGCCTCTGTCATAGAATTTTTCTTGTCAAGTGACTATCAAATACTTATGCAGATGTTGCATTACAAATAGTGACTGACATCCCAGAACTTGCTATAAATGGGAGAGTGCTTGGACTATTGGCTCGAAGACCTTATGCATTTGATGCTAAAACGCCTAGTATTATTCGGAGAATCACAATTACATGTAAGACACTCATTTCCTCGATTTCTATTATATTTTCTTCATTGTGCTTCTAGATATTAGCATCTTCTTCTAAAATACACCAGCTTGAATCATTAAAACATTTTATATATCATATGTAATGATTGGGCAAGGATTAATATGGGTACTATCAAAACGAATGTGTGGTAGTTGCATTAGTCATTTGCTTTGTTAAGTTTGAAAGGGCATTGAAAAATGATTAGACTTTCGAATCACTATGTTAATACTTCACTTGTAAGCAACCACTATATTTATGAAAACATAAATAGAGAACAACATGTGATAGTAGAAAATAATGATAGAATCATGTAGTTGGCTAAAAGATTGCAAGATAAAAAAGCTAGTTTTTGCTCTTTTCTGAAAATGAGGATGTCTTTTGATCTATGAATCTTTACAAGCCTTTTGGTTTTTCAGAATTGAATTGTTATTCAAGATGCTGATCGCTTGGCTTATATTTGTGAAAGCCTTTTTGAAGAATATTATTTTTTTGCTTAAACTTTCTAAGCGGCTAAACCTAACATAAAATTTTGTCAAAAGTTCTGATGAAACATATGGGGCATTCCGCCAGTTTTAGAGCTTTGTCTTGATGTAGATTACTCTGTATTCGTTTAGTTCTCGGAACAAGTGAAATAACAACAAAAGCATCCAATGAGAATAGAGGATATAAAGGGATCATAGATTTCAGGGCCACCTAACCATTTCTATTCTTCATATAAACCATCATCAAAGAAGATTTTAGCATAGTTTGAGAGAAATCGGAAAGAAAACAAAGAGAATGAAAGAAGATATGAATGTCTGAATCTCATTCCTTGATTTCTGTTGAGGTATGTCATATGTGCCCCTATTCATACACAAATATTTTACAGTAGTTAAGAAAGTTTATAGCAGCCAGGTTTAAGAAAAACATTTACCATGCCAGCTAAGCAAAAGAGCAAACTCATCTAACAAATTCTGCTGATAGTTTATTTCAACACCCCCTCAGGCTGGAGGGTAGGAAGAACCGAGTAAGCCCAGCTTGCTGAGTATGTGATGATGTTTCCCTGAAAGACTCTTGTGAAGATGTCTGCTAACTGTAGTTCTTAACATAGGGAAGTTCAATCAATCCTTGCACTTTTTCTTGACCCAAATGACAATCCGAATCTATATATTTGGTTCTTATATGGAAATCAGCGTTTTTAGCAATGTGAATTGCTGCTCTACCACGCATTTGACAGGGACTGGAGCAATTCCCAGAATTTTAATTTCATGAAGTAGTCTAGTGAGCGAGCAATATTACAGTAAATTCCCTCAGAGATCTATACTCTGCTTCATGATGAGAAACAATAGCTTGCTTTTTATACTTCCAGGAGACAGGACTACCTCCAAGCATTATTAAATATCCACTGATCGATCTTCATGTGCAAGAACAGGTGGTCCAGTTTGAATCACAGAAAGCCTCTAGTGAGAAAGAACTATTGCGATTGAATGGCAACCCTTGACTAGGATCATCCTTAAAGTATCTAAGAGTATGGAGAACTGCTTTCATGTGAGGAAGCCTCAGATCTTGCATATATTGACTAAGATGTTGCACTGCAAAACTGATATCAGGTCTTGTAAGTGAATTTCCCAATCAATCTCTTCTAACTCTCTGGTTCATAAAGATAATCACCAACACCAGGTTCCAATTTGAGATTGAACTCTAGGAAGGACAAAAGAACTAAGATCTGCACACTGATACTCTTTTAGATCTTGGGTGAACTTTCTTTGTCTCATAATAAGGCCTGAAGGAGTTTCTAAGATTTTAATGCCCAAGAAATAACTCAAAGTTTCCAAATCCTTGATTTAGAACTTATCATCTAAAAATGACTTCAAATGATCAATCTCAGCTTGATTATATCCAGTGACAAGAATGTCATCAATCTAAATGGCTAAAAACCACCATGGAACATCCCTCCGTTTTGAATTAGAGAACAATCATTCTTGGAATTACTGTATACATTAAATCTAATGTTTCTGATAGCTTTGCATGCCATTGTCTTGGAATAAAAGGGCTTTAGAAGTTTCACGAAGGGGTTTATGTTTTCTTGCAACTACCACATTTTATTGGGGTTCTTCTCCAACGGGTTTGGTTAATAATTCCCTTTAGAGAGTGAAAACTGAATGGATTCTTTGCTGAGCCCAAGTTCTTATACATTATCTTCTATAATGGTTTGGAGTTTTCTATGAAATTGGGTTTCAACCATTTCTGTGACAGCTTTGATAAGCGGTAAATCGTTGCTTTTGGTACCGAGTAAACAAGTCCATGAGGTTTTACTGAAATCATCTAGAGTTGAAACTCCATTAATTAATAACCGATTATTTATGGTCTCTTAGAGCATCTCCATCAGTTCCTCTAAAATGGAGATTTTGAAGATTGTTACTCCAACAGATTCTCCAAAGATTCTCCAAAATGGAGAAAGTAGGATAGATATAATGAAAATCTCTACATTTGGAGATGCTCTTAGATAATATTTTTGGTCAGTCCCAACATGGGAATAACGTGCCAAATTAATAATTCGCTAAAATTATATATAATAAATTTTATTTACTCATATGGACCGCATGTAAAATTCTAATGATAATTCCTTATATGTATACTCTATCATAGAGCATTTTAGGTTTTACCTGTTAGAAACTCTTAATTTTTCAAGGATACAAGTGGTAAAACATTATGTACAAATAAATACTGCATACAAAATCTTTCAATTTTATAATATTCTTATTTTACCCATTTTATAAACAAATAAAAACAGAAGCTTGAAGGGGTTCTCGGAAACTCATGTTACCCTTTCCATATGAATGGATATTGGAAACCCACATTTTTATCTCAATTTAAAAAAAATCTAAATTATCTTAAATATAATTAATTTTTTAACCAAGCAAATTATATCAAAAACAGGTACTTTATTATCTTTAATTTGATACCCATATATGTGTATGTGTGTGTGTGTGTGTATATATATATATATATATATATAAACCACAAAAAATGAAAAACTGAGGAATACCCTGACAACCATTCATTTGGATGGTATGCACAAGTGCATACAAGTAGTTTATAACTAATTTTTTCGTTATGCACATGTGCATAACATGCACACGTGCATAATAACCAAGAAACAACTTCAATTACTTGTATGCAAATGTGCATACCGTCAAGATGAACGGTTACCAGAGTGTTCCTCAATTTTTCATTTTTTTGCGGTTTTCCCTTGAACCTCCCCTTTCCCTCCCTATATATATATATATATATATATATATTTCAATATTTTTAACCCGGCTTTGGAAATTTCAATCACGAGTGTATTTACACGCGAGTATATTATTTACAATATTTTTTACTATATTATACAACATTTACAACTTATTAATATGTTTCAACTTTATAAAATTAACTCATAACCAACTGGTAAACATGCTCAAATACATGATAAACTTTAAGCCTTACTAATACAGTAAAACAATCCATAAAATTGATAATCAGCAGAAGACTATCGTTCTCTCAACATCACACAAATTCATAAAACAAAGTCGAAAGAGATGAATATCAATGTATTGCAGTGCATTGCGTGGGTACAGGTATAGTATTACATAATACATGAATGATTTATGAAGACTTCTTCTAAAATGACTCAATTGTCTTTCATTTTTTTTTGTTGAAATCAATGTCACCTTGAATTTTATCTCTAACTGTTCTTATCGTTGTAAGAACTTTTGGTGTGTTAGCATGATTTGATCTTGTGTTTATATAGCAAATATTTTTTAATGTCCATAAAGTAGTACATTGAATAATATACTAATACATTGAACAATGAAGCATATTGTAATACATAAAATGGAAGATTGAAGGGTGCATTGAAAATTGGATGCTTCTTTAAAAAATATTTAGTTCATTATGAATTTATCTATAAACTAGTATAAGTATTAATTAATATATAAATTAAGAATTATTAATTTATTGGTTAATTAATATCTTGCTTAATCAAGTTTTTTGGTTGTCCAAGGGCATTAATTTATAGAGTTCCAACCGTACAATAGTTGCAAAAAAGAAAAAAAAACAGTCTTATTGCAAAGAGCAGTCTCTTCTGACTTCAAGACATATAGGCCTCCTTAAGCCTTACCAAGATCCTGTAGCCTCTTCATGAAGGGCACTGCAAGATGCAATTCGAATTGGAAAAGTTCACTGATTGTTGCAGTTGGCATATAGAGCTCTTTGTGTAAAGTCAAATTGGATTTCAATTGAACATAATTAATAAGGCAAACTCTTACTATGGCCATCAGGTAAGGTATAGAGTAAAGTGATTTAAGGTTTGTTTGGTGGTTTGAAAGTCATTGATCATTAAACATATGGTCTGATGACATAATCCACGTATTCGTAGCAGCAGTTGTACAACTACAACATGTGCATAATTCCTGAGCATGGGAAGATGAACAAATGGTTTTACCTGCAAAGTTGTTGATAGGTGTTCAGGTGTGAAACCAGTAGAACCAGCATTACCCCTTCCCATTTCTCTGTCCCACTATTCCAGCAATATCACTATGACTACCATGAATTTCACCTTGATCGTGGACTGCTAGTCTCTTGCCTATATTCCCTTTGATATTTCTGAGGATAGTAATGCTTCTTTCAGCATATATCTTATATCTTTAGTCTGTCCAGGTCTCTTGCAAAACTTGCAGAAGAGGTTAAGTTTTCTTCCTTCTTCCTTAAACTCAGATTTGATGCTGAGAAATTGTTCTTGCTTCTGGACTCCAGCATGCAAAGATGTCGAATCTCCCACAAAGTGCACAGAATATTGTATGTCTCTTTGTTTCTCATCTTGAGTAACCATGGAATAAGCAGTAGCCACTGTTGGCAATGGGTCCATCGTTAGCATGTTCCCTCTCACATTTTTATCTTCCTCATTAAGTACCATTAGAAGTGAATGAGCTTTCTATTTTGTTTTTCCTTCATCATAGTCTGTGCAGCTCCACATGTGCACATCACTATTACCTTGTGATAAATCTCCAATATCCTTATGTAAACTATATGATTGAACTCCATAGCCTGCCCAAATCACTGTTCCGTTTCACACGAAATCTGCAGTGCTAGTGTACAGAACACTGTCAGTAATGTTCTTAATCAGGGAATTTCACATCCAGGCTCATACCTCCTTGTCGAGCTTCTAGCAGTTGTTCAATTGTCTGCTTCCACTACTTATTATGTGCTCCTATCCTTTATAGTCGAGCAGTTTTCTGCGGCTCTCCTTGAAAGTGTCTTGTAGTATGAGAGACTTGTCTAAGTGAATGAAGTGAGAACTAGAGCTCAAGAAGCCAAGGCTATGAATTATCATGTCTTTTCATCTCTGCCCAAACTTCAAATTTGGAGGATTTGCATCTGGTCTTGCACAATTTCTATTAATAAATTCAATTTGTTCTTAGCTGACAAAGCTATCACCATTGCTTGCTGCCATGAACTGCAGCCCACTCCGTCAAAAGGTGTAGACACCAAAGTCATGCCAGGGTGATCAGAGGGTGAAGGTAGAGTGGATCAGAAGAATCTGTAATGGCACAATTCTGTTTATCAATTATTAATTTTACCGTCAAGCTTTGTGTTGGAGAAAAACAATTAAGTCACACAGACAAAAGATTGAACACCTAAAAGCAGAAAATGGATTGATCAAATGAAAATCAATTAAGGACGAGATCTGGATCCAGAAAATAGGTTTTAGATAGTTGATGATTCTAATCAATCCAATATCTATGCATATGTAGCTGTCTCTGTGTGTGTCCAAAGGAGAAATGGTGAAATTTAAGTTAGATTGTTTATGAGATTTAAGCCAACAGTCAAAGATAGGTTGATAGTGATTCAAGTTTAGAGATCGTGCTATGTGACCATGTAAACTTTTCCGTAGTTTTGAGATAAATCAAAAAGAGAACAAAGAGAATGAAAGGGAATTCGAGTTACCAAATGTCCTTGATTTCTAAATATTTAACCGTAGTTAAGAAATTTACAGCAGCCAGCTCTAAGATAAAAAAAATTACCCTGCGAGCTATGCAAAACAAAAGAACTTCCTAACAAATTGTGCCTAACAAATTCTGCTGATAGCCAATCTGTAATTCCAACACGAATCTTAAAATTACAACAAAAACATCCTATGAAAATAGAGGATATAAAGGGATACTAGATTTCAGTGCCATGCAAGTATTTCTATTTTTCATATAAACCATTGTCAAAGAAGAAGTTCTGGAAAGAGTTACGCACAAAGTGCTAAAATTTTCCTTGGAGTGCACCTTTAATTTCGAACTTTAATTACAAATTAAAAAACCGTTCACACTTTAAAATTCTACCGAACACAGAAATTGAAGTTTCCATTTAGTGTGGTCATGCATTTTACAATTTCGTATTACTCACTTCATGCAATTACCAACTTCATGCGTAACACTCTACTCAGAAGTATGTAATATCATCTACTTCCGTTTCTTAGTTTTTACAGTGTGTCGTCTGAAGATGATTCCTGAACTGGATAGTCATGCCCTGCAGTTACTAAGAGTCATTTGGACAGAGATTGTGAAACAGCCCAAGGCTCAAATTGATGAGATAATAAGAGGGCCACCTGACCCAATTAAGGATGATGAAAAGCAAACACGTTCTGAAAAGGACAAACAAGAAGCACTGGTACTGCTTAGAACCATTTCAGAGAACATTGCTAAAATGCCTGCTAAAATTTTTAACCTATTCAGAGGGCCGCCTGATGAAAAGGAAATGATTTGGAAAGACGTGAAGCCAAAATACTCTTCTCGAGTGCTATTTCTTGCTGCAGAAATGGGTAACACTGCATTTGTGGTTGAGGTTATTCGGCAATATCCGCATCTAGTACGGGAGGTAAATGATAATAATCAAAGTATATTTCACGTTGCTGTCTCACATCGTCATGAGGGTATCTACAATCTGTTGTATGAGATTGGCTCGCTCAGGAATTTGATAATTACTCTTGAAGACAAAAATGGCAACAATATGTTGCATTTAGTTGGGGAGAGTGCAAAGATTAATAGACTGCAGAAAATCCCAGGAGTGGGTCTGCAATTACATCTAGAAACATTATGGTTCAAGGTACATGTTTCCGATCTTTTTCTTCTTACATCTTTTATCCATCTTTTGCGAGTTTTAACTCGATGTAATAATTTTCTCTAGCAATCATTTCATGTGCATATTTTCATCAGAAAGCGAACTTTAAATTTGTATATATTGTGAAATCCAACTCAAAGATGCATTTCTGTAGTTGACATCTGGTATGTGACGACCAAAAGTAATATAGAACACTTAAATTCAGGAACATTATACTGTATAAATTGAACGTGGAAATCCGGGAAGGAAAAAGACAGCCAGCCTAGTGCAACTATTCGACGAAGCACTCTATAGGTGGATATAAAGAATTGAACCCATATCGGTTATAATGCTTTTCCTCCGCACTAATTTATAAATAGCAAATGACTAAATTATAAACCAATAAAAATTAGATGGGTCGAAAAGTTCCCATTTTCTTGTAGTATGAAATGTTGATAAATATACTGGATAAGTCCATGATCCTGATCTAAATCTTTGTGATGTTAGGAAGTAGAAGCCATACTCCCTCCTCCATTTCGAGAAAAGAAAAACGCAGCTGGTCTAACACCACATGAAGTATTCACCAAGAACCACAAAGATCTATTTTCCAAAGGTGAAGAGTGGATGAAAGAAACTGCTTCTCAATTGATGGTGGTCGCGTCACTAATAGCCACCATCTCATTTGCAGCAGCATTTACGTTTCCAGGTGGATATGATCAAGTAACTGGTATGCCCATCTTCCTGAAAAAAGAACTTTCCAAGATTTTCATAATATTTGATGGCTTATCGTTTATATCTGCTACAAGCTCAATCCTGCTGGTCTTGTCTATCCTGGGGTCTGATTATACTGAACATGATTTCATGATTTCGTTACCCCAACAACTGATGATATGTCTAGCATCACTTTTCATCTCTATAGCGACCATGATCCTCACTTTTCTTATCAACTTTTTACTACTTTATCAGAACAATTCTAAATGGATACCAATTTTTATAAGCTCTTTTGCTGCTATCACATACATGATATTTGGTAGCCCAAAATTTCCTCTTCTAGGTCGCTTTCTATATGGTTCTAGATTTCTTTTCCAAAGAGAGAGTAGAATGCTTAAGAAACCGATCTTTTAGCCATTCAACTTCTGTAAGGCAATCGGTTGAAAGTTGATGATTTATACGTGGTTGGTGGTGTATATATCAAAGGCGTTTTTTGTTGGTGTTTTGGCTGTCAACTCAGATTCACGATGTTTTTTTATCTAACTGACTCATCCAGTTTTCGTATTTGTATAAACTTCGATGGTTATATCCTACAAAATTGGTTCTCTGATGTTCCATTTGGTAAAAAAACTACTGTAAAAATGGAACAAATGTTACTAGAAAATGCTGTAAACAATAAGTACTAAAGAAGTAAAACACTGGTAAATGAGTAATTGGTAACATCATGTAAGAGCAAATATATATATATATATATATATATATATATATATATATGATCGTGTTCCGGCGAGGAGTAAGGTGAGAAGCGTAAGAAGGATCTCCACCCTTAGATGCACATTAGGATGAGATGCACCGGGTCAATCCTCATATCAAGCGCAATTCATTGGTGGCTTTGAGATTAAAGGTGATCAAGGGTCCAGATTTCTTACACTTGTCACCTCAATTCTACTTCTCACATGATCCTTCGCCTATATATATATATATATATATATATATATATATATGTTTCCCAAGGCATCAACAAGTACATGGTGTCAATTTGTTAGTGTAAATTCCTCAAATTTTCCAAGAATTCAACAACTACTTTACCCAGGGAAACTAAGGAGTCAGGTTCAGACTTTTTTGAAGTTGATAGTTTAAGTAGAATTTATACCCAAGTCTGGTGATATGGTATTGTGGAAACCATGTCGGGCAATACCATATTGGCTGAGATTTATGTGGCACAAATGAATTCCGAGGTTTGACTCGTTGGGTATGCTTGGCCTTTTCTTATCTTCTAGTCGCTACTGTTGTCATAGTGAACAAGGTTAAAACATAAACGACCCAACACTTGTTGAAAATGGCTCGATCAGCGAATAATTCTTTTGATGGCCTTGTTAACATGAATCGTATTATTAGTTGCGGTATGAAACCATGTGGAGGCGGCTATTTTGGCCTTAGGTGGAGATATGGATTAGTAAAACATTGCTGTTATTATCATCTCTCATTCTCTTTGTAAGCTTTAAACGTTTGATATCAAATTTATGAATGTATGGTTCTTTTTTTCTTCTTCTAGTTTTCTAAGAATTTAATTTATTAATCATTGTTGTTCAGCACACTAACACACACATATATAAGTGTGTGTATATATACATAATTGAGTTTACGTGAGACTAACTTGTTTTCATGAGACCACATTTTTGGCACTTCAAACGTCACAACAAAACATTTTGAAGGAAAAGAAAAATATGAACCTTCACACCAAAAACATTGTGAAGGTTACTTTCACAGTGTTAAATTGTGAAGTTTTAAGTATAAAAAAATGGTCTCATTAAAACAACATGGTCTATATACAGGTTGGTCAAACGAGAATCCCTGAAATTTACGAGAATGTGAGAACAACCTATAAACCAAGTAATGTGTTTTAAATCAAAGTTAAGGGATTTTTTCAGTTTAAGTTGATATAAAAAATTCAAAAATATTTAAGAGGTTGGAAGGGTAAAATTGGAAATTAAAGTGATAATATTCAAGTAACATGATCACAAAAACTCTGATCATCAAGGAAGTGATAACATCAAAGACGGTGGTTATCTAGTAGGCCATTATTAGAGAAAAATAGGTTTCAGAAGGATTAGTCGACATAAAACGGACTGAAGAATCGATTATCACAACAATATTGATTATCATAATTACCACATTCGATTTCACACCGATTATCACACGATAGAATCGATTATCACATCAATGTTGATTATCACAATCATCACATTCAATTTCACAAGATTGACACTGCATATTCCTTTCTCACATATTTATCATACCAATTAATCACACGATAGAAACGATTATCACAGCAATGTCGCTTATCACAATTGTCACATTCGATTTCAAACGATTGTCACTACACATTCCTTTATCACATGTTTATCACATCGATTAATGATAGAATCGATTATCACAGCAATGTCGCTTATCACAATTGTCACATTCGATTTCACACGATTGTCACTACACATTCCTTTATCACATGTTTATCACGCCGATTAATAACATGATAGAAACGATTATCACAACAATGTTGATTATCACAATTATCACATTCGATTTCAAAATATTATCATTACACGTTCCTCTATCACATGTTTATCACATCGATTAATCATACAATAGAATCGATTATCAGAGCTGTTAGGACCTGTAAATTCAGCTTTGGTATTTGATCTCTTACTCTGAATGATCTTTAGGACGATTACAATGCAGCAGAAACAATTATAAGAACAAAACAGAGTAATAAAACCAAGAACACACAGATTGATATGATAAAGAAGATGGACACAATATAATTGCTTCAAAGGGTTTTCAATTGATTGAAAATAAGACGATTACAATACGGAAGTGCACTGAATTACAAAGGCCTAAGCTGCTATTTATACTAGTTCCTAACGACCTTTCTGTTCGTCTTCATCAGAGGATTCATCAGTTACTAACTCACTCGATTGAGCTAGTAGAGACTTCTGCTGATAGTAGTCAGCCTTCTTTTTGTAGAAGGCTGCATCTCTAGGACCCCTCTGTGGAGCCTTTGGCCCTTTTGACCAGCAATCTGCAGCAAAGTGGCCTGGCTTGCCACATCTAAAGC